CAAAAGACGGCGGGACTTCTCAGAAGGCCTCCGACCTTCTGAGACATGTTCCGCGTCTTCGGGGAAGGCCGAGACAACTTCTCGGAAGGCCAGGGGACTTCTGCGTCTTCTGAGAGGGCCTTCTCCTTCTCACTTCCCCCCCAGGCTCGACGCCGAAGTCCAAGCAAACAAACATCCCAAAAAACAGAACGGCGGGGGGGCGCCGCCGTGGCCCCTCCCCCCGGGGGGCGCGCCCCTTCCCCCCGCGCCGCCCCCCGCCCCCGCCACCCCGAGCGCGGTGGCAGAATCGCGCGGCAGCGCAATCGGATAAGATGGGACGTGATGGACGGGGTGGGACGCGATGAGCCAGGGTAGGCTTAGATCGGCGGCGAGCGAGGGGGAGAAGTGAGAAGGAGAAGAGGCCCTCTCAGAAGGCGGCGGGGCTTCTCAGAAGCCATCGCGCCTTCTGAGAGGTGTTCTGTGCCTTCGGGGACGGCCTGGGAAGCTTCTCAGGAGGCGGCGGGGCTTCTCAGAGGCCCTCGCGCCTTCTGAGAGGTTTCCTGTGCTTCGGGGAAGTCAAGTCAAGAAGCCATACGCCCGTTGGCGCGTGGGCGAGACAACGCATTACACTGTACTGCTCCTGGTGGGCCGTGCCTCCGGCAGGGCGCGCGGGCAGTGCTTCGGGGAAGGCTCGCTGGGAAACTTCTCGGAGCTTCCGAGCCTTCTGAGAGGGCGCGCCCCTTCGCACTTGGTTCCCCCCCCCCCCTGCGGGCGCGCCGCGGAGGGCACGGGCTGGGCTTCGAAGCCAGGGTGCAGACAGCGAGTAGGGGGAGGAGGAGGGGGAGGAGGAGGAGGAGGAGGAGGAGGAGGAGGAGGAGGAGGATGAGGAGGAGGAGGGAGGAGGGGGAGGAGGGGGGGAGGAGGAGGAGGAGGAGGGGGGAAGGAACAGGAGGAGGAGGAGGAGGAGAAAACCAAAAGGTACTGCCACTCCCAGGACCTCTCCTGGGGTGCGTTCTGACCAGAACTCCGAGTCGGATCCAGCGGTGGCGGCGAGGGTCTCCCAGGAGGCCCCAAAAGGGGAAACCGTGCGAAGGGTAGAGGGTGGGAGGTATGGGTGCCTCTTCCTCCTCCGAGCGAGGGGGGGGGAGAGGGGGGGAGGAGTCTCGGAGGAAGGAGGAGGTGGAGGAGGAAGAGGAGGAGGAGGAGGAGGAAAAAGAGGAGGAGGAGGAGGAGGAGGAGGACGAGGAGGAGGAGGAGGACGAGGAGGCCCGCAGGACAGGAGGGAGCCCGGGGTGGTCGGCACCCCCGTGCGGGGCGCGCAGGACTCGAGGCGCCGCGGGCTGCGCGCGCGAGCCCACGGGGCGCCTCCCCGGGCCAGAAGCGCAGGGCGCGGGGGCGGGCCGTGTGGCCGCTCGGGCCTGCACGCAGCACGCGAGGCTTTTCTCGGGAGCGGCCTGTCTCTCCACAGGAGGAGTGCTCAAGAAATGGTCTGGGGACAATTTGGGGGGGCATGTTTTGCCTACTTCGGGGTATCTTTTGGGGTATTTTGACTCTTTCGCCCTGCACGAGCCTGCACGCGGCACGCGAGGCTGTTCTCGGGAGCGGCAAAGAGGGCCTCCCTTAGTGAAAACGGCCTAGGACCGAAGCCGACGGACCTGGACCCGCAGAGATGACGGCCGCGACGCCCTCTCGCGAACCGAAAACGGCCAACTCGCTGATCAACGTGTCAGGGTAGGAGGTCTATCGACCTCTGAAAAAGCGCCCGTTGCTCGGGAGCGGCCAAGAGGGGGGCGTCCAAGAGGGGGGGGTGCAAATCATGACCGGCGGCATGTGCACGGCCCAGCGGGGGGGCCAGGGACGTAACGAAACAAGAGGAGGCGCCATGAGATCTGGGGAAACATCATGGCACCCGCCATGATATGCACCCCCCCTGGTCATCACCCCCCTCTTTGCCGCCCCCGATTTTCGGAAGCAAGACCGAAGTCGCCGGTGCATCGGCGACGCGGCGAGATCCTCCGACCACGTCTGCTCGGATCCTATCCGGGAGGCCTCCAGGGATGCCGCCCCGCGTGATCGTTCGCAACGAGGGCGCCCGTGCGCATGCGTTGCCCAGTGGATGGCACAACAGCACTGCTGTGCAGATGAGGAGCCAGAGCTTCACACACTCAGGCGGCTGAGCGACAGTGCGCCAGGGCTCGTCTTGGTGCAAGCGCATGGGCCAGAGCCCAAAACTACAGAGGCTCAATAGGGTGCTAGACCACCATCGGCCAAAGCACAGCTGTGCTGGAGTCCCCAGTGGGCCTCACGTACCTGCTGAGAAAAATGGAAGCCGAGTCAGAGCAAGACGAAAAGCGAAAGAAATAGAGAGCGAGCGATACCGTTTGGTCAAGATGATTTAGACTACGTCAGTTGCGACGAAGGGACGAGAGAGAAGGGACGACACAGAGGTAGAGGTGGAATGAAGAGAGGGGGGAGGACGAGGTAAGGATACGAACGAGTAGATATCAGGTCTCAGAAGGCT